CTTCATTCACATAGGGCTCACTCCGTGCTAGAAGATGAGGCTCGAAATCGGCTGCGACCATGAGTTTCACCGAGCCCGAGGATCTTAGCTGCATGCCAAGCACAGACTGGGGCTCGACGACCGCACAATGATTGTACATGTATGGATTTTAAAAGTTATGGAGGTCCGTTGGTATCGATGCTAGAGACGGTGTCGATATGAGTACGAGAGCCCGTGATGGGTGCCTGCTCGATCAGGAGGTATCGAGGTCTGGTGTAGGGTTGTTGACGAGCGCTTCATTCTTGCCTTGTGATGCTCAGTTCTAGTATTCCCCGGGTGGTGGGGTCCAGGCATCCTTTCACACTATTACAGCCAACACCTTCACGTTGGTAAAGTGTGGGTAGTCACGCTCTTCGTGTCGCTTCCACCACCGCCTCCAGAGGACCCACCTCGGACCTCGACGGCTTCTCTTTGCTCTTGAGCCATGCGGTATCCTTCCTGTGCGCCGAAACCATTCGGCGTTGTGATCACCAGGTCGTTTCTTCCACAACTCGGAAAGCTCGAGCGGCAGCACCGCCAAGAGGTGGACTGACTCGGTCACCACGCTGAAGTGGGCACGCAAGTTCACAACCGCGAATTTGGGATTGAAACCACACACGGCCGTCGCCGGGAGATGTAGGATATGCTTTCAGAGCCACGGGCACATACATCGCTGACTATACCTCTATCGAGCCCAGAGCACGCCAGCTCGATGCCGGTCGTTGTTGGACCGAGCCGCATGGAAACCAACGACGGAGCTCGAGGTCCCTCGTGGATGAACCGAGTCAAACCAGAAGAAACGCGAAGCTCGATGAGCGTCGCCGTTCAACCAAGCACGAGGCTGGGTGACTGGTTGACTGTGGCTATGTCATCATCGCAACAGCGCGCTGCCGGTGTCGACATCCGCCTCAACGAGCCTACACCCAAGGCCAACACAACTTGCTCAGCTTTGTTATGCGTGCGCAAACCATAGCCCGCAAGAGGCGGCCACGGTATAACGGCATTGCACAAGAGGTCAACACCTTGCGTGTTGCAATATCAAGGCAACTTGACACGCAAATCCGAGTACAGGAATGCCTCGATGAATAGGGGCAGGGCAGAATGGAATTTCAGACAGGCACTCAGACAGGCAGGCAGATACGCCGTTCAGCCATCTAGATCTGCCCTCAGCCTCTGTTGTGAGGCGCCTGAACTGCTCAAAGAGGTAATAGTCTGTGCTTTGCCATGCCTGCGTCCGTTGCAGGGAAGCGTCATGACGATGCTGTGCCCCAACTTGGTCTGCAATAGGCCATGATGTCGCCGCTGCCAAGGATATCCCATCTCGGTCCGCGTGTAGCGCGCGACTCGCATCTGCTGTGACCGTGAGCTAACCGCAGCCCTGGCAGCAAACGGTCCTCCGCATTTCCGGTCCAGAAACTGCGTCTGCTCTTGCCCGGGTCGCATCGGAAGCCGACCGAGACTGCCCAGAAGAGAGAGGTTGAAAATGCTGCGGCTAAAGCATAGCGCTCACGTGGAGCGACGAGGCGAGTGGCAGGGCGAGGAATCCGAAGATTGTGAGATGGGACACTTAAGCCGAGGAGAGCAGCTGCGTCGTGTTCGATAAGCCCAAGAGTACCAGGTGATACTAGATGAGATCAACGGCATTGGCTCATGAAAACGTGTCCTCGTCTCGGGCATCACTGGGTTGGCCGACTCACAAGATCCAACGAGAGACCATGATGGAGCGCAGACTGGGCTCGAATCCACCAGGTCTCAGCGTGTCATTTCTCGCCATCAGCATCACCCTAGAGCATTTTGACTCTGCACGAGCTTGAACTCTGCGCAAGCTTGAACCCTGCACCGGGATTGCTAGCCACGACACCTCTGGTTGAGCAGCCCGAAGCTAGCATTTGCTTGATCCTTCACAACACGTTTGACATAGGCCTCTTCTTCTTGAACGACTATGAACCATTCGTCGAATATTCATAGAGGGACAAGCTCTGGGGTATGATGCCGCTTTTACTGTATGCGTAGTCGCTGGAAATGTATGCCACGGCTTGCGGCCCTCATCCGTGGTCCAGAAGGACTTGGAACGAGGCATCTTCCTGACAGTAAGGTTGACACAGCCGCACCTCGGCACGAGAGAGATGCACGTTTTGCAACTGGCCACGTCGGTCGTGGGTGGCACTGGCGCTTTCTGTGGCTACCATCTGGCTAGGTCTGACGTAGCGTAGATAGAAGTGAAGAACTGACCTTGGAGATATTATCGCCTGATCGATGAGTTCGACGTCGGACAAACCAAGCCTTTAGCGTTGCACTTTCATGTTTATTGGCGGTATGGCTTGGCGGGAAACAAGAGTCCAGAGCACCCAGCCGCCAGACGGAAGGTCAGAGGATGTCCACTACGCGTCGTCGTCATTGAAGCTCGCGCCACAACCCGAAACGCCAGTTTCCTTCGGTCACACGTCGAGCTTCTGCTTGAACCGCGACAGCTATGGGGTCGAGATAGATGAGCAAGGCGAGAATTGAGAAGGAGCTCCGTGGAATTCTGAAGGTCCGACGGAGTATTGAACTGGGCGTTTCGGAGGAGTAGCGCTAAAACAGCCAATGCACACCTGACAATCTTGCTCCGAAGGTTTGGCTGATTCGCGTGAGAAGTCTGGAAATTTGAAATTCCTTTGGCAGCGTGCCAAAATGGATGGCCTTGACAATACAGGCGTTGGAGCACTCCAAAGCCAGAGACTGACGGTGGTCGCCCTATCAATCGATGGGAGGTGTTTCATGGAGGTGATGCCCGGAACATTGTTGTCAGCAGCGGATCGCAGAGCATGTTGAACGAGATCTTTTCCCATCGTATCATAGACATGGAAGGACACGGCGCTAGCATCCACGGGGCACAATTCGAAACCGTCCAGAAAGGCGGCCTAGTCACATTCTGGTGCTGCCTTGTCCGAGTCGTGAGTTGCCACCCACTTCGAGTGCAGCGTCAGCCCACGCGTACAGATTTGGTGGGGAACTCACATCATCCCGTGGAACTCTCTCTTGGGATCGAGATTTCCTGCGGTTGATGACGCTTCGAAAAGTGATTGTCACAACCAGGCTGGGCACCACCGGCAAGGTGTTTGGAAGGGCTGCTGAGATAGTGTCGGAAAGATGGTCTCGAAGAGCGTCCGGAAGAGCATTTGAGATGGCACGTACGATATTGTCTGGGCGTTCAAAACCGCTTCTGATCCGGGCGACGTTTCGCCTCGCGCGGCTCGTCACTGAGTACGTGCAAGCACTTAAAGCAGGATCTCAAGCATCAACTTCTGGAGCTTGCTTCTGGCCACTAGCTCCGTCGACGCGCCGCTAGAGTTCCGCTCGACATAGTGGATAGCTACCGTACAATCATCATCTCGACTGTGCCTGGAGTGATTTCAAGACCATCGTCGTTTGAGGGAGTAGTGTCAGCGTTGGGTCGATAGGATCGATTGCGGCAACAGGTAATGTGATCGAAAAGCTCCATGACTTGCACCAATATTATCAATAGGTGTTGCAATAGTCCCAAGCAGCTTCTTGAACCGGTCCAAATTCTGATCGACGTCTGGTATAGTCACGGCGAGATGATACATCTTGACCTTGAAGAGTTTTGGGGGATCGAGCGCTGTGACCAGTTCATATCGACGAGTCTCTGTATGGCCACGACGGTGTGTTTGTGCCTACGGAACCGGAAAAACTCATCGGAGTAATACCGACGCGTGCACCGGGCGCGGATAGACTCGTCGGAAGAGTCCAACTAACCGAATCGGAACTCACATACTAGGAGTCGTACTCGTTACTCCGTACAGTAACATACGTTGCTCCTACGCGACCGTGCGGCGCGCGCCATGATTGATCTCACCTGCCTAGAACAACTGTATAACAAGTGCTCATGCGTTTCAAAGCGGCCCGGACTCTGTGTCGTTGCTATTTTGTTGCTTGGGTTTCGGGCGAGTTGTGTGGACGGAACGCAGCGGCAAGACGACACGAGGCTAGGGGATGCTAATGCAGGGCGGCAGAACCACTTTGGTGTGGAGATGCGGCGAGCATGGCCCGTGTGTGCGGGGCTTCTGCACGTGTGCGGTGTAGCCGTCATACATTGAGTCACGTGCTTGTCAAGGACCCTCCCTTCAGCTACTAGAACTCGGCCTCGCCCCGATCTCCTCCACTTGGCCTTTTCACCTTCCCCATCGCCCAGTTATCCTTGTTAAAGTTACCGAATCCTCCTGCTATCCACTTCTCACTCGGCAATCGACGCTAATTCCTACTGGTCGCCCACTTGTTCCGACTAGCACAATAAATTTGCGAGTCCTTACTGGCCACTAGCTGGCTATGCTACCGTCTGAGCCTCACCACCATCCTCCTCACTACCACTTTTCCTCACCACCACTTGTCCTCCCCACCACTTGTCCTTAGCCGCGATTACTGCCACTTCTCCTCCTAAGCCATTCATCCCCACCCGCCACTCATGCCAGTCACAGATCATCCCCATTAGCGCCTTATGCCCATCCACTGTTCACTCCATCAGAGCACGTATAGGCCCCCTGCCCACGACCTCATTTCTTACGATGGGCGTGAAACGAGGTCGCTGTTCGTTCCCAACGTGTGTATACACACCTAAAAACGACAAACGACATCGACACATCAAAGACTCACCTCATTTCGAGTGCTTGAACTGTGACAGAGTGGCACCTGCCTATCTTCAGGCCTCTCATGTCCTAGCAACTCAAAGCGAGGAGTTCACCTCGGGCCATCGGTTCAGCAAGACGCCCGTTCAGGAACCACAGGCACCTCAGTCGACATCCATCGGACCAAAAACACGATGCTGGTGTTCACGATGCCCTTTGCAGAGTCTGAAGAACATTGTCCGTCACAAACGGACGCCACACTATATCTGTGCAGCATGCGACGGAACGTCTGCCGGCGGGAAGGTTTTCGTCGGCGTGGGGTTTGTCAGCAAGCATCAGGATTCCAACCCAGGCCATATGTGCAACCGTATCTTTCCCTCGCAAGACTTCGCCAGACGGGAGGACAAGCAAGCACCAGAGGATCTCCTCCCCACCAGAGCTGGAGCGGTGCCACCAAACAAGCCTGTCTGCCCTCATGATGGATTGAACGATCTCTCTTCTCCGGAACCCGCAGTGCCGGCACCATTGAATGCCGCAACACCCCCTGATAGCATTACCGATCCCGAAGCCGCAGCGCCCCTTGAGAGGGACGCTTCCAATCCTCCTGATGGTTCCCCCGGTCCCGAAGTGGAAGCACCGCTGGAGAGGGACGCGGCCAACCCTCGTGGGAGCGCTCCATGCCCTCTTGGCAAAGGCTGTGCTAACTCTTTACCAGAACGTTCCGTACGACCGGGCTTTGGTGCACGACGCCGCTCTGTATACGCACCTCAGATTGCAGGTTTACTAGCAGAGATGACCGAAGTCGCAGACGAAGTTGAGCTAGATTCCAGCGACGGCCATCGTGTCAGTAACGGCGACAATGCCACCGATAGTGATGGCATCCGATGGAGGCATCTGGCAGACAAATACCGTGACATTACATCAGTAACTGCTCCCGACGCCTTTGCTTCCTGTTGGGTACCAGCGAATTCGACGCTGGGTCCCGGCGACGTTGAGGACGTTGCCGACGCTGAGATGATAGTGATGACATGGACAGAGTTTCTGGATTCGAGGGATCTCATCGCCGAACGCCAAGTTCCCGTTCTGCTTTCTGAAGTTCCAGGCGTCCCGCCCAATCTTACGGTCCCAAGTCTCATCGAGCGACTGGAATTCATGGAGAGAGGCGCCACTATCTGCATCCAAGAGTTCAGTCAATCATTTCCCAGCGCACCCGTTGTTTCGGAAGTTGTCGCACAGTTCAGGCAAGTCATCCAGCAATCTCGGCTCGGTCGCGCGTATCCGCCGATGAACATGCTTAGTATCCGGGGCCATCTGGTGCCTTATGCTGTGCCACCACCTTTTGAGGAGATGCGATATCAGGTGCTCCCATATATGGCTGAGCAACTCCGTCTCGAGGCGCACTCTAAAGCTCGTGGACATCGAGCTGATGTTGGGAAGCAGCCATTCGAGATCAAAATAGGCTCCCGCTCGATCGACCTGCAAGAATGCTTTTCCTTTGTCCTTTTGGCATCACGTGGCTCTTACTCGAATGTTCATGTCGACGTGATCAACGGCACGTGGGTGTCGTGCTTGTGCGGCATCAAAGTGTGGTCATTTGTCCCTTTCCCCACCGACGCTGAGAAAGCCGCTTTCCAAGAACAAGGAGCCCATTGGAAACCCGAACCGGGGCGGCTCAAACATGTTGTCTTGCTTGCGGGAGAAATGTTGATCATGCCCGCCGGCTCGTTGACCATCCATGCACCGCTGACATTGGAGGATTGTCTCATGAAGGGGGGCATGTATATGGATGCTCATCGGATCATCCAGTTCATGGATCACCTGATCTGGATTGCACGCCACCCTCATGTCACTAACGAACCCGTCCAGAGGGAATTAGCGAAAGCCTGGCCGCACCTTGAAGATATCGCAAGGAGGAACCCGGAGTATTTCGGAGAGGACTTCGACCTCGAAGCCTTTAATATGAAGTCACAAGAAGTCAAGATATATTTGGGATGTCGAGAGCCTTGCTTGGGGCGACGGAATCCACGGTGCAGCGCAACTGCATGTTCTTGCCGTTGCGTACAGAGTCACAAACCATCATGTCGATGTCTGTCCTCAAACATTCAGCAATATGGTGACGACGCGACGGGCGAGTGCTTGGCCTTCTGTGCACAGCCCAAATCTCCCAAGGGGAACAAGGAAGCAAATCCACGAAACCGGAGTTCACGCCCTAGTGACGAGGACTCGCCGCGGGTTCCATAATATCAGGGGCCAAGTCCCGCTGACCCGTCACATCTGCGTGGTTTCGCTCGCAGGTATTTCCGATGCCATGGCAAAGGCCACTCCATGATTCGGTGGCTGGTGCGAAACTCGGAGATGCGGACTCATGATAGATTTGCTCGTGATAGTGTTTGTATTTTGGGTCTGAACGTCGGTGTAGTATGGACCGTGGTGACTGCGTTTCAAAAGCGTGTTCGTCTCCTCCGGCGAATCGTGCAGAATTGCCGAGTATGTCGATAGCTTGAAGTCGTCAGTACTGGAACCCACGCGTCGCGTGTGGATCATCGCGAGCTCGTCTTCATGGTCTTAACTGATAATGCGGGTCGCGGCTGGCAGAGGGCTGGACCTCTCGAGTCGTCGCCCTCTACTCCCGTGACGGACGATGAGGGTGATCGGTGATCGGTGATCAGTGAGCGGCGAGCTTCTACCATCAGTCAGTCATGCCACACCAGCTACACAGTATTTAGTAGTGCAGTGCCACGCATGGAGGGAGAAAGGAAGCGTGGTGTAGACGAGGCCGAGATTCGCAGAGCATTTTCCCGCCAAGACACAAACCACAAACATCGCGGGGTAAATTGGGGGACGTGCCCCGCCAGGCGCCAAGTCACGTGACAGTGCGACTCCTACCAAAACTACGATGAGAAACATTCATGTCGATTCTACGGAGTACTATCTACCTACCTACCTACACAGTAATTACCAGCAACCCTCCGTCCTCCTTCCCCCCTCCTCCTTCCTTCTTCCTGCTTTCTCACCCTCCTTCCTCGTTTCGCCTTCCTCGTCCTTGCTCATTGCCTTCACATCTCCCTTTCCCGTTCTCCCTCCTCTCCTCTCTCTTCTCTCTTGCACGCGCCTCCTCCTGGCCTGGCTCCAGACGACACCCTCACTTCATTCATGCCAGCTCATCCTTCTGCTTCCTCAGGACCTCCAACACCATCCTCGCGTCATTACCGGCATTGTGCCAGCCGTCCCAGTCCCTCTCTGCCACGTTATAGGTTGCCGCCAACATATCAAGTCGAGGTCTCCTGTGTGGGGGCTTCAACGCCTGCTCTACCTTTGCAACATCGCATACCTGAGCACCACGGAGGTAGCCGCCGGTGACCGCCGTGTTGTCCATGGCAATGCCGACATTCTTGAACCACGCCACGTCCCTGTCAAGGTTATGCCCGACCAGGATAACGTCGTCGCAGTCCGCGTAAGCGAGGCTGATATGATCCATGATTCTCCCGGGCAAGTCTGCCAGTGCCACCACCTCCGATTGACCATACTGGAAGCCGAACTTTTTGTCTGCGTGCCGGCCGTTGGAGAAGTCCAGGCCTTCACGGACGATGAAGTGCACCGAGTTCGTCACCCGCGGCCAGACCCAAGCCTTGCGCGTACTGATACCAACTTCGAGGATCATGCCTTCACTACGCCTGCTGGTCTCGAGGTCAATCGCCACGAAGGTGATTTTCGGCACCCCGCTGGTGTGTAACTCCATGTCACACAGGCAATAGACGAGCTCGAGATGATCCTCTGCCCCTGAATTGTGCCCCAACCGCTCACTGGTTGTCATTGGGGCCGGCAACTGCGGTGGGTGCACCCGCTGCCACCACACGCCGAGGCAGACTGCGCACGATTCGAGTAAGCGAGTGCTCAGTTGCAGCGCAGTTGAACAACGAATTTCGCAATCAACCAGCGAACAGCGCAATCAAACAGCGAACAGCACAATCGGACGGCGAATAACGCAATGAAACAGCCACCATCACAGTCGCACAGCGAACAGCAAAATCGAACGATACAGACCAGCAGCAACTCGGAATCACACCAGAGTAGCACTTACTGGCACGAAAATCTTCGTACGCAAATTCGGCGCACTGGAGCATCGCCTCCGGCATGTAGCGGCCCCTGCCTCTCCTTCTGACGACGCTGTCACCGAGATAGGGACCACCACGAATGTAGACGTCAAGCATCAACCAGGGGCCCACATCGTCGCGGACACAGGGGCTGAAAGACACGTCTCCGACGTAGCCCCGACACTCAAGGTCCAGCAACAGCGAGAGATGGTTCTCCGCGGGATCGCTCAACACCTCGTCCAGCCTGTCGAAGTAGTCCAGTAGTGCGTTTTCTTCTTCGCGGCTGGGCACCCGAGGCCGGGCTGGGACCATGTCACCGCCTGGAGAAGACGTCCTAATCGTCATGGTGAAGAGGGTCTTGGGTACAAGAGTTGTAAGGTGAGTCGGTGCGAGTGTATGAGTAAGGCTGAGTGTGTATGTATGTACGTATGTATTAATATGTAGATCTGTATGGATGTGTATGACTCAACGTGTATGTGTGGAGGAAAATCTCGAAGACCAAGGCAAGATACAATACGGAAGATGGAGGAAGAGGCTCAGGAGGGGGATGGCAAGCAGTTTATAAAGCTGTTGGGATTGATTGTGGCGTCTTCTAACCAACCCCTTCGGCAGGCGCCTGCATCAAAACCTATGGTCTTCAGGGCTTCAAGGACGTCATGGATTCCAGGGACTCCAGGGACTCCTGGGCTTCAAGAGCTGCACGGGCTGCAAGGGATTCATCATCTCTATCTCTAGGCGCATCAAGCGCTTCACGGGCTTCATGGCTCCAGCGGCGCAGGCGCTCCAAGCACCTATGGCGACTAGGCTATGCTATGTACATTGCGGTCTACCATGTACCCTCTCCAGGGAGCATCCAGGATGCTCCTGACTACCACCCCTTAGGTCTATTGTTACAGTTACAGCTACTGTGGGCACTTACAGTACCTCGACAGCGACGATGACTGTCGAAGCAGCGGTAAGCGACCCGCCCACGTTGCGCGCCTACCACGCCTACCACGCATACCGTACGTACTTTTAGTCCTGAGAACTTACACGCTCACAAGACGGGACAACAAACAGGATACGACAGGAGAGAAACGCCACTGACCCACCCCCCAACACCGAACGCTATGCCTGCAAAGCGCCGCCGAAGACCTGACCCTGACACGCCAAACGCCAAAGTTCCAGCCAGCCAGGCAGGCCAGGCCAAAGCCATGACCCTTGACGAGTGTACGGGACTGAGAAATGCTGCGAGTCTGATACGATGCGATACGATCACGTCAGACAGCAAGATGTAAGACCGAGCCCGAAACAGTGAATGCCGTGACCGTGACCGTGATCGGGATCCGGATCCGGATCGAGAGCGAAAGACACAACAGGAAACCGAAAACGTACTGATACAACGACCGTGACGACCAAGGCGGGGAAGGTTGAGCTTGAGCTTGGGGTTGACGTAGTCGTCGAAGTCGAAGTGGACGATACAAGATTGAAAGACGTGAAAGCTGACACGACAATGACAATGTGGTGATACAAGATGTGGCGTACAAAGTCGCGTACAGTGGTGTACTGGGTTGGTGATACAAAGACATGACAGTCTCCTTGGTCCGTATAGGGGGAGGGAACTCGGATCCATGTCGTCGCTGGGGTGCTTGCTGTTGCCGATCATGCTGGTAGTGGTGCTGCTGATGGTACTGCCGGTAGTGGTACCGCTAGTACTACGAGAGCTTCGACTGACGGCGATGAGGCGGTTGCTGCTGCTTCTGCTGGATTTGGTATCGCCGTCGAGCTAGGAAGACGGTCTACTCGCTCTTCTCTCACCGCTCGCCAGTGGAGGTACCATTCGTCCGTGTGAATCCCACTTGCTGGGTCAATGTCCAATTCCATGATCACCGGCACCACCTTCTCGACAACATGTTCACACTCGAAGACGGTGGTGAAGGTCTGAAGCACAAGGACAAGATTCGACAGAACCTGCTCATCCATGGTCGGTGAAAGCGTGTATGTCCAGTTGATGTGGTTTGCCGGTGATGGCAGCATGTGGTGCTTGTCGTGTTGGACGAAGACCCAGCCGACGACCACCTCCAGTAGTAGGAGCAGGAGGACATCACAGGGCTCGAAGCTACTCTCCACCAACGCCTCGCGCTGCCTCCTGATGTCGTCCCACGCAACAGCTTCACGTGCCGCACACGCATTGTTGTACAGATCCAGGCGGCGCCGACGACTTGAGTCGATGAACTGGGTCTGGTGCCACGCCGTGAACTGCGCCAGGATCTGCAGGATCAGGGGCGTTGATGCGGCGTACTGGGTGCGAGCACAGAAGCTGTTGTACTGTGCTTGGACAAGGGAGGCAACGTTGTCTGCTTTCGCAGGAAAACAATTGGCCTCCAACGCCCTTGCAAGCGGACGCAGCAACGCGCCCATGCGGCATGCCGGGATGTGGAAGGGAACACTGGAGGAGGGTGGCGGGCATGGTGTGGTTGGAGTGGGCAGTGGCACTCTTCGCCAGACGTCATTGAAGAGGTGCTCGCAACGAGGATCCCAGTACGGAGGGACTTCTTCGCCCTCCATGGAAATCTCGACGGCTTCAAAGTCGACGAAGGGATCGAGGTGGCGCCATTCCAATGCCTCAATCATGAGACCGAACGTGGTCTGATGAGCCTGGGACCAGTACAGAAAGTAGCATTCCAGAGAGAAGACACCGTGGTTCAGGCGTGGGACAACGTTGTACAGAGTGCCAGCGCACTCAGCGTGAGAGGGCTGGGGGACTGCAGTTCGAGTCTTTATGGTTGACTTCTCATGCATGATCGAGCGGCGGAACATCTCCACCGCGAACTGATGATGGACGAACTGCTCCTGGTGCACGTGCACGTCGTCTCGGGCCTGGAGGAGAGCCATGCGGTCGACTTCAAGCTGAAATATCCGGTGCACCAGTGTGGACAGCTCCTGTTGATCGCACTCTGGATGGGTTACTGACTGCCGGAACAGCGACACCAGGCTCGTCAAGGGCCAGTAACGCCTCACTGGCCATGGGTAGCTGCTGTGATGGGACCAGAGCAGACTGTGCAGACGTTTGTCATCGACGTGGACATTCACCGTGTTGTCATCTGCGACGACGAAAGTGAGCGGACCCTGACTCGTTCGCTGCTGGTAGATGATCTTGCCAGGCACCCATTCGCGCAGAGGGTCGATGCCAACGCCGTAATAGGTGCCAGACGGATCATCACCGCGGTTCGAGAAGTACCAGCCGAAGCGGCGGAACTCGTCGGCTGAATGCCGCAGGCAGATCAAATGAAAGCGAGTCACGTCGCTCGTGACTTCGATCACGGTCCGGATGCGCATGCCGCGCAGGGGTTCGTCGATCAGTTCCACGGACACTAGACGGCCTTCGAGATGCACACCGCTGGGTCCCGACGACCGGTACATGATGCGTCCGTGGTAGTCGATCCTCCGGCGGTGCAGCCTCACGGCCAGGATCTCCAGGCCCTGCCGGTCGAGGAGCGCAGTGGGCACGCCAAGGGTTGAGCGGCGGTACAGCTCGTCAGCCAGGTAGGCCATGCTGCGCCACACGGTCTCGATTTCGTTGCGACATGCTAGGGGCAGCACCCCGAAGCGTAGGCCCCAGACGGCAAAGGCCGTAGACAGAGGGATGCTATTCCGATTGACAGTCATGAAGCGATCGCTGGCGTGCTTCCTGACTCGTTGTTCCAGAGTTTCTTCCCGGATGACCAGGTGGATGTTGCGGCCGTCGTAGATGAAGGAGTATTTGGCCGGGAGGTTGAGCGCCACGGACCGATCTCCAATGGTCAGCACTCTCTGCTGCAAGAACAATCGGTTGAAACACGGGCTGTAGATCCTGACCACCTGGGCGCAGTCCCTCCAGTCGGGCGAATAGTGAGCGGAGATCTCACCGGTGTCATTGTTCGACAGACACGCATGCAAGACAAAGGGCCTGTCGGGAAAACCCAGGAATCGCGTCTTCAGATGGTCGTCGAAGAGGCGGGACCGCAGACTATCCTCCGAGTCGATCTGAAAAAGCTGGTAATTGGGTATAGGCCCATACTCGCTGACGGGAATGTCGTCGTTGCTCCTCTCCAAGACTTGAAAGCTGCCCCGGAATAACGAATCACGGCCCCAATTTGCAGGCACATCCTCCGCGGGGCCCGCGAGGACGTAACTGTCTACAATTGCTGCGAAACCAGTCAGTCACGGATCTGGCTGTTCTGGGGTGGGGGCGTCGTTTCTCACTTTCTACGGGTGCAGAATCGCCGTTTGCACGGCTGCCATGGTCCTCTCCGGTTCGCTGACGCACATAGACCGTCGCTGGATGATGATTAGTCACTATTCGGCTGCCTCGAGCCAGGACTGCTTCTCACAGTGGATGGTGGCATGGTCGTCGCTTGCCTGCGTGAACAGGTCACCGCTGCCTGCGCCGTCATTGTCTGGCTGCGCGAAGGGCTCTGTTTCAGGCTCCTCGTGGAAGTCTGTGCGAATGTCAGTCATCGTGTAGTCGGCATTGGAATCAAGGCACTTCACTGTAGACATAGTCGTTGTCACTATCGTTGCTGAGGTCGCTATGGTTGCCAAACTCGCTGGGATTGTCACTGTCGCGACCGTTGTCGGAGCCGTCGTCGTTGCCGTCGTGGTCTCCGTGCCCGTGGTCGTCGGGGTCCTGGTCGTTGGCGTCCTCGCTCGCCTGGGCCTCTCCAGCCTGGCTCGCTTCGACTGGCGCTGTGTGGTTGGCATGCTCCTCGGCGGGAGTCCCTGGGGGAGCTCCTGCGTTGGAATTCATTGGCCTGGTTGCCAAGGAGTCGAAAGGCGGTCATTGGGGCCGGCCATGACCAACCGAGTACGAATGCAGGCTTGGACAACAAAGAGTGTATGTGATGTGACTTACAACCGCATTCCTCGTGGCTCTAGCGAAGGGTGATCTGATCACGTTCAAGTTCAGGGCTAGGTCTTCTTGACAAGACTTGTCATGATAGATTGATAGCCTTGAAGAAAAGCAGACGAGGCAGAGACAGAGGCAGCCCGGTCTCAATATAGGAGCCAGATGACCTGATGCGGGCTGGCTGTGGCCACAACCACCACCACATCCCTCTTCATCCTGTTCTGCGTCTTCCTCTCCATCTCTATCCAGCTGCTGTCTGCACGGTCTCAGGTCACCGTCCTCTCACGGTCGAGGCTTTCAGCCTGCCTCATCATGGCATCATAGACATTGCTGGATCGACTGGGATGCCCGGCCTCAGGACTGCATCTGAGATGTCTGCATAGGGGCGACATATGCAAGGTGAAGACCAGACCAAGCCGGACCAGATCTCCACAGAGAGTGATAGACGCGACCTGTAACCTGAATGGAACGACTGTGCGTACCGTGTAGGCGCGCCATGATGTAAAGCGAGCGAAGGAGGGTGATCGAGTGACACACATCGAGGCCAGCTGGATGCCAGTGCACGGCGTCTGGATGTGATGGCGCATGGACTGACCGGCGGTGACCGTTCAGAACGCCATGGTTGTCATGGTTGTCAGATTTACGAGCACAGTGAGGCTTCACGATGGACCAACAAAGGCGGCATAGAGCGACAGGTCTGGGCGGGAAGTTGGCAGGATATCCGAGAATGCGAGCGAGAAGCTAAGCAGGAAGACCATTGCTACTTCCGCGATCCAATCGAACAGGTCCACAAAGTGATAAATCGAAGGCAAGCGGACCACGGAGGCAGGGGTGGTTGGAATACATTCATTGTCGAAAAGAGGCAGGCAAGACGGTAGCAAACGCGACAGGAATACGAGCCGTCAAGCCGCGTGCCATGGCTGGAAACTCACACAATCGAGTCCAGTGTGGCATCGGCACTCTAAGTTTTGCGACACGTTCGATAGTTCAGCTCAGTTCTCCAGCGCGTCTCGCCCATCACGCCAATGGAAACGAGTCAAACGGGCACGATCGAGCAAGCATGGAGAGGTCTCGGCCCGGTTGTTTGCCCAGCGCGCCGCCTCAGTCACCATGTCTCGCCAACTGCTTCCCCGTCGCCGCGCGCCTTCGCTACCCGACCCTTCGTCTGTAGTCCGGATTCATGGCGCACTTGGTCGCGGCTCAACGCGGTGTGGGCCACGACTGTCGTCCACATCATGCGGGCCGAGTTGAGGTTTGGTGCGAGATGTGATGGCAGTGCACGGCGGAAGAGACAAGGGAATGAGATGGAGTGGCCAGAGTGCAAGAGCCATGGCCCAAGTGACGTCCAGGAGCACCAGCCACGAGTCTGTTGGATTGTACGTACATCTTCTCGAGGTACCAGATCTACTTGGACAGCCAACGCTTTTCGATTTCTGCCGCTGTCTGAGAGGTCAGATGTTGACGGCACAGCCTGCTGACAATCTGCTCTATACCGCTGCTCTGAGTGGTCGGGTGTTGGTACTGTCCGCTGCTGTCTGAGAGGCGTGTCGGGTTCGTGCCGCGTTTGCCGACAGTTTGGTATGGGGGTGAGCGAATCAGTGCAGAACAGCAGGAGGTCATTGCCAGGATCCAAAGCCCGAATATCGAGGGTGGTCGGGCTTCAGCTGTCAGAATCGACCACCATGCTGGCAGATGGAGCCACACAACCATGTCGGACGGTCCGCAGCCGCATATCAGCAGTGGACAGTCCGGGCATTCACACGTGATCAGCTTGACTCTGAGGTTGCGAAGGAGTAGAAGAGAAGGCAGAAGTGCTGGGGGATGGCGTTGACCCTGAAAAATCTCGAGGAGGGTGACGGGATACGAGGCTCTTCTCTCTAAGTGGTCCACGATGCATGAATCACAGTTACACAGCATCAGAAGGGCGAAGCTGCACGACGAGAAGACCACGAGAAATGTGTTACACAACGTCTGCAGTGGCTTGTAATGAATATGCGGCCAGGAGGAGTTGACGTGCCACAGCGGCAAGAGGCATGAGGCAAGAGGCAAGAGGCAAGACGAGGCATGAAAAGGGTATGAATCATGGAATGGACTAGTCGATGCAGGAGAGAGTCATGGGAGCCGAAGACAGGGAGGTACGAGCAGCCCACAGGTGATGAGATTCAGAGTGCTGAAGGCAGCGAGGGAAGTTGACAGGTGATGAGCACGACACTAATGCATGCGGCAGAAGAAAGTCCAGCTGCGTCAAGGTCGACGGTCGAGTGCCATTGGCGACTCGCTCGTCGCGACTTGCCTCGATCCTCAGCTTTACTCAGCATTACTTTGAACACGCATGCCTGCAGCTGCAGCTGGTACTCGTCGAGGCTGGAATGGTGGTCCGTGGCCGAAGAGGAAAACGGAAGAAGAAAGTGAAGCAAGAATGAGCAAGAGATGAGCAAGAGATGAAGCAAGAGATGTCATTGGCCCGAAGAACAAGGCGAGCAACACGCAGAAGCAAACACACACGCATACACACTCCTCTCCTCCTCCTGCATACATTACATCCACGTCGCCGCCACGACACTGCGATGGTCAGGCTGCATCTCGTCCAGCAATCGACCCACGTCCGTGACTCTGACACCCTGTAACTATTACAACAGCATCCTCTTTGGGCGACTCATGCAGCATGCAGCATGCGCACACCTCCTCGCACCTTTGTCCATTTCCGTCACTCTGTCCTCGTCACCGACATGGTGGCTGCTGCACCTCGCACCATCCAACACGAGCATCTCCGTCGTCCAGTCTCCCGCTTCGACATTTTCAGGGTTTTCGCCATCCCCCGCCATTTCCCATTCGACTTCTTCGTTTTCTCCTTGAGGACACCGACGAGTGCCAGGACAGACTGGGAATGGACCTCCCGCCCATCCGCACTCCCAAGAAACCCAAATTAGGTGCTTCGCAAGCCTGGTAGGGGACTTTTCAGGCGCTGCCATTGGGCATGTGAGGTCCTTTCAGGCGCTCTAATGGGCCTGTGAACTATTTCCTGATACATGAGATCCTTCCAGATGCGGCCAGGATTTACCTTCCAGTCGCTTGTATGGCGCCTATGAGATCTTTCCGGGTGCAACTGTAACTATTCTCCTTAGGCCAATACGACGCCTGTGAGATGTCCCGGGATGCAGCAGTGAGATCTTCCCAGGCGCTACTACGGGGCCTATGAGATCCTTCCAGGTGCAGCTATAACTGACTTCCCTTCGTCTATCACGACGCCGGTAAGATCTTTCCAGGTGCAGCCATGACTCACTTTCCAGGCACTGTTGCGGCGCCTGCGAGATATTTCCGGGCACGCCGAGAGCCACTTTGCAGGCGCAGCTACCGGCCTGTGAGACCTTCTACAGGTGCAGCTGTAAGTTCTTTCCGGACGCAGCTGGGGTTACTCTGAGGGCCCAGCTACAACCACTGTGCGATCTTCCCAGGTGCACCCATAAGATCTTTCAGGCGCTGCTGTGAGATCATTCTAGGTGCACCCGTATGATCTTTCGGGGCGCTCCTTCACTCACCTGCAGGGGTTTGGCCACCCATCGACCGCTATACCACTGCCTCCAGCAGTCCTACTCTTGATCTGACGCCTTGTGAGGCGCTGTGCTCGAGCCTGTACGACCGTCTCGACGCCTATCACCAGCCGATCTTGTATCACCGCTCGCCTATCTGCTCGAGATTGCACCACCGTCCCCGGCCATTTGCTCGCCTATCTCGCTAACTCTCCCCTACGGTGCCTGCCTATGGCCCTCAGAATAGGCGTCCCCATCACACCCACATTGCCTGTCCCCTGGACTGGTACCTGTGCCTGTACGCGGTAGGGCACAGTCCCCCGGCAGTGCGCAGCCTGCTGTGAGTGTTACGTCCCTCCCCACACGTCGTCCACAGTAAGCCGTGGCCCGAACCTAATCGGCGCCCTAAACTAGGGGGATCTCGAACGATTAGGTATTCGCTTGTACCCTTAGACGTAAGCGCTAAAAATGGAGAACCTCGGACGACAAGGAACTTTTGAGTATTCATAGTAGGGGAATTAATTTCCGTGTCATCATGATCGTCAGGAACGAGAGCCGATCCCAACGTTGAAGCCAAACCCGAACCGAAATACAGGAATCCGAAATCCTCCATCGAGGGCACGCCGCCCAAAGTCAAAGGAGAGAAACTCCCACGCGGCCGCCAAAGCGAAAGTACCATGATCCCCCAAGACCAGACCACCAGACCAGGCCACGGCCAGAACCTCCGTGGCCGCCTCTCTCATTGTCGTCCTCGATGAAACGCCTGCCCTTTATGCCTCCTCTACATAGTAGCCAAGGCCGGTTTGGTATCCAAGGTGTAGTCGGCCTCTTCCTGCTTCATGTCGCCGGAGTGTTCGACCGCGGCTTGCTTCTCTGCACACGAGGGGCATACGTCGTGGCCGACCTGGACGTTCTGGGCCTTTTCCAACTCGGTCGTTATGTCCTGGACTCGAGCGTTGAGTTCCTTGTTGCGGCGCTGCAACGCCCTGGTCTGACACAATAGCTGCCGGATTCTCCTGTCCGTGTCAGGAGTCGACCCGGCGCAGCTCCGGAGCAACGCCAGCTCCATTTCAGCCTCCCTCGCCTGCGCGGTTGCCCGCTGGCCAGCATCGCGTGAAACGGCCAGGACGGTTTCCTGGGCTTCGAGAAGGACAACCTGCGATTGGAGCAGCACATCTTGCTGTTGGAGTTGGTTCTCCTGGATCCGAATGGTGACGTCCCGGGCGTGCAGCTGGGTTTTGAGTTCGAGCAACTCCGCGTGTTGTGGGGCCTCCGGCGAGGGCAGAAGTCGATCCAAGACGTCCACTGCGGAGCCCCAGAACTTCGAGTATTCCTCGATGCTATTGACGATCTCGTTCACGTTCCCCTGGAGTGTTCGGACCTGCTCTACGGTATTGCTCCGGATCCTCAGGCAGTTCTCATAGAGGTTGCGCAGTTCGCTGACTTGCTCAGACATGCTGATGGTGTTCATTGCAGCAGGCATTCAGGCGGAATGACGGAGATGTAGACGGTTCGAAGATAGACAGAGTGTAAGCACGGAGAAACACAGACTGCCTGTATGGCGTCTGGAGTTCTTTGAGGACGGGGGAACGTTAGAAACCTGATGGCCTGAAGACGAGTAGAGACTGCGTCTGTGATGTCCCACGATCTTTGAAGTAGAGGAATTCAACAGCGTGAGGCTGCCAACATATACCATTCCATAACCACAGTATACCGGAGGTGACTGATGAGGCTGCGTTATCGTGACGTCTACATTTCAGCTCTCGCCCACGCCCTCAAGTCGATCCCAAGCGTAGAGTCCAGTCGGCCTGCCTGCCACCTCCTCGTGCCCTTGCCTGTCACTTTCCCGTGCCTGCATCTTGCCTGTTCATCAAAGGGAAGCCCATCAGGTGGTGCCTGTAGGTCCAGGCGTTGGGGAGGTCCGTGACCCCTGTGGCGCAGATAGCTCGATGCATGTTCGGCTCCCCTTGATGCGTGTGGTGCCCGGTGGCTTTAGGGGCCTTGGGAAGTTCGTGACGCCTGAGTCGACGTGGTCGATGGACCAGCATCGCACAACCTGCCGCAAACAAACAGCCACCACACGGATCCGCCTGCACACACACACACACACACACACACACACACACACACACACACACACACACACACACACACGCACGCACACACTTGCCTCTCACACTGTCTGTGAACATGGCGTCGCTGGCAGGAAGCTGTTTCGATGCAGTCTCTCGTCGAGGTGCCTGTGACAGGACTGTGTCGATAGAGACTGACTCTGGTGCAGTCTCTCATGCTGCTTCATGGAAGACAGACTCTTGACCTGTCCTCTCCTCCAGGCTTTCATGCTCCTTCATCGAAGACAGACTGACATGTCCATCTCTTCTTCAGTCTTTCAGGACAGCATCGATGGTGGCTGTCGCTCAGTCTCTCGATGCCGCCTCGATCGAGACAGACTTCTGCTCAGTCTTCCTCTTCTCTTGCTCAATCTTCAGTCCTGGTTTGGGGAATCCCTTGTCCAGTCTCCTCTTCATCTCTTGTTCATCTCTGTTCGTTGTCTTCTCCCTGTCCCTTTGAGTCTCTTCTCACCATTCAGTCTGGCTCTGGTCAGCATTCAGTCTTGCTCTTCTCAGTCCTTCAATCTTTCTCTTGCTGAGTTCTTCAGTCTCTCTCTTCTCAGTCCTTCAGTCTTTCTCTTGGTGAGTCCTCCATGGCCATAGGGCTCCTGTTCAGTCTTCCGCTGCTGTTGAACTGAGACTCCGCTCAGGCTTTCTCGTTCAGGCTTTGTGCATGTGGGATCGAGTCTGTTGTCTCCAATGGCCAGTTCCAGGGAGGTGAGATGAAAAGCCAGCAGCCAGCAGCCAGCAGTGAGCAACCGGCATTCCGTGGCCAGTAGCTCGAGCATACGTTGAGGCTCGAGCTGTCGGTACTGAAGAGACCAGATCCAGAATCCACAATCCAGAGTCCGGAATCCAGAATCAAAATCCTTCCTGGCGGATCCGCCGATCTTACCTAGTCAAAACCTTACCTGCCTACCTATGCCACACCGCCTATATGGTCGAACTGCAAGTGGACACAAACACTCCAGGGCAATGGAGCTGGACTTGAGGGGAATGCACACTTGAAAGAGCCTCGAATACACACATGTAAGAGCTTAGGGATACATACTGTAAGAGCCTGGAACACACAATCGAAGAGCTTGGGACTTGGTCAGTAATACACTTGGAAGAGCATGGACCTGTGAGCAACACATACCCGGATGTATCTGGGATATTGGCAGTACCTGGGACAACTGAAGCCCACACACAAAGCAGTGCTGGCATGGACCGGCTCCGTCACCCACTCCCTCCCTTCCGTCCATTTGACACCATCTCCCCATCGTCTTTGACGTGGCACTCCTCGACGGGATTGAACAGAGCAAGAGCTCTCTCAAGAAAGGTGTAGGGCCTCATGGAGATCCATACAGGTAGGGTGATCAGACTGACAGCAAGAACTCCTTTCGAGGAGCACCACCAGGGCTGGTCCGGTGTCCATGCTTGGTCACAGATCCAAAGTCACTGACAGCCGCGACGAAGCCATCAGTGTGACACTGAAGAAAGGACAGGAAGAGAAGAATGAAACAGAAAGAGACAAGGAGAGAAGAAGAAAACAGGAAGATGTGATGACTATACAGAGGAGAGCCGGAGAACCCAGTCGGAGAAGCACTCTTAAGATTCAGCTGGGCACGACAAGCTGACTCCTGTGATTCCTGTTGGACTCACGGAAGCTACGTGCACGGCAGAGAAAGACAAAGTGGAAGGAATGTGGTCAATAAATGAACAACGGTCGAACCATGGCTGACTGTTGTTGGCTGACTGGTAAGTGTGGTGGCACCGCAGTTGTGGTTGTACAGCTAATTTAGTTGTGTACAACAGTGACAACCTGACCAGCAACTGCATTTTGCTCGTGCTCAGCACTGGACCGCATGCTTGGAGGGATCTCGATTCCAGCCGGGGCAGCGGAGATTGTTGTGGATGTTTGACTCAGAGCACGAGCCGGGCCGGGAATGTTGCGACTGACAGACATGCCACGTGGCAGAGGAGGCTTTTAGGTTATGGGACAGACATGCCCTTGGGTGGTTGTGCTACGCAGGACTCTATGGAGTGCCGTGTGGTGTGCGTCCATTGACGAAGGATTCGACACCCTGGACAACAACCAGCGAGACGGGCCGAGAGCGAATGGCAGCCCGCCACGTTTGCTTCTTCGGGGTGAACTGGCAACTAGGCAATCATCATCGATCGCCGACGTCAAAGGCTGCGAGAATGAATGGGACTGTGTGCAATGAGTACTCGTACTGTGTAGAAGAGGCTGCGTGAAAAGGAGGCAGCGACTGGCATCGCTGGTGGCCGCTCAAATGAACTGGAAGCTCGTCGGCTGGTCGCCTCCGCCGGTCAGCACCTTATCAATTAGTTAGATGCCACTCCGTTAGCCCGGCAGCGCAATTATCAAAGCCATCTGGTGCAAATCCCATCGCTGATCTTTCATCTCTGAATCTCTGTACATCTCGGGCATCTGCCTCCCTCATCTCCAGCAGATCTAGCGCATCCGGACTATCTGTATCTCTGCACATCAGGCCTCAAACATCAGCCTTGACAGCCACATCCACACCCAGCACTCACAACATCCACACACGTCATGGAACATTCAGCCACACCTTTCAATCTCTAAGGGGAAGGAATGTTGCTTGAACGGGAAAGACAGTTCCAGCTTCATCTCCCAGCACTCGCTTAATACGGGAAACTCCCACTGCTTTTTGTGCTCAGCCACACTCCCGGCCGCGAAAGTCCCATGGCAAGGCTGCACGGTCGGTAGGCCAACTGACTGTGAACCCATGTTGCAATTGTTCTGCGCAGGTCGAGGGCGTCTGGGTACGAGTTGGGAATCCTCAATCTACCCTGTGTCTCGCTTTTGTGCTGTGTAGAGCACGACTGCGGAGCGGACTGCGATAACCTTTTCCTCGGTGTCGAGCGCAAGCCTCAGAAGGCCCAGCTCGTTCGTTTCGATGTCTACAAGATACTGGGGTTTTGCCGCCGACGTCCCAAAGCTGGTTGCTCACGATTATGATCACTACAGTTCCTGGTTGACCAGTCTTGTCATGGTTTGTGCGAACGGTTTGAATCAGTCGTCAGTAATTCCTGGTTGACCAATCCCGGCATGTGCCAGGTGAACGAGCAGCTCTGCGTCGATGTGAGGCCCGAGTGAGGACCTGTCTCCCGCGCTCCGTCGAGGTATGGATGCGACTCTCAGAGTGCGCCAACCCTTTTAACCCAATCTCACCAGCTACCTCAGCACACAGTCTCGTCGCACTCAAGGCAAAACTCGCTCGGTCGCAGGAATGGACAAGTCGAAGTACATCGTCCTCCTCTGCCTTACGGCCATGGCGGCCATGTCCACTGCCTGCGCAACAACTAGCATGCGCTCTTCTGATGGTCAGTCAAGCGCTCACCTGAGCGTTTCGCCTCCGGGAAAGCCTGCATAACTGACCCATGCTTATTGACTGTTTCTCAGTCCTCACATTCCTATTCGACCGACTCGTTGTCGTAGCTGCTGGGATGTATATCTCCTTGATCTATGCAGGCGACTGGACGAGGGCGAATGTCTTTGACAGAGTCGGCGAGATGGTGCAGCTGGCGGGAAGGTTACGATAGGAGCAGGGCGAAGGATTCATCTGCTGAAGGCCAGTCTTCGCAGCTTGTTCAGATTTCCTTCCCGGCGCGGAAGATCTGTCTGCGACCGCCTTTCGCTCTTGCCGTGGTTGTGTGGTTGCTCGAAACAGAAACAATGACCTTGAGCAGGAAGATGGATAGCTTTCACTTCAACTGACCACGTTCCCTTTCTGTTTCCTTCAAGAACCATCGACACACTCTCGGGCATCTGCCCTCATTTCCACTTCTCTTCTCTACATGAACCTCTGCCAGGAGTCCTCAACTGTCACTTTATCTCTTGGGAAGACACCGACTGCATTTCCGATATCTTCCTCATCACCACTTCTCTTCTCTCACACAACACTCAGAGATCTCATATCAACGCGCTCCCTGTCGACTATCTGCTCTCATCACCACGTCCTTCTCTCACAACCCTCTCCTAGAACTCCTGGAGTACGCACCAATCTCGTCTTCTAGACCACAGCTCACACCTCCTTTGGAAGCCGAAATGGATGACTTGGCAGTCACCCTCGTGGTCAGTCTCCATCTCCGTGCATGGGAGGAGATCCTCAAATACTTGTCAAAGGTGGTCGTGATCCTGGTTGAGCTTGTCGTGATGACACTTATGGTGGTCCAAATCGTTGTCTGGCCCTACTACAAAATTCGTGAGTCTCAAGTCCATCTTCCTCGCATTGTCCATTCCCGCCATCACCGCTTCCACGCACCACTTGGTTTGAGGCTTGAGCAAAAGGGTCACTGACTGCGAGGTTTCCACGTG